ATTGGATGAGAAGGACTCGCGCATTGCTTTGAATTCATTACAGAGGGAGAGATGAAGATGGTGGGGCATGTGTTGGTCCATGAGACACGTGAAGTCTTCATTCATTTCTCTTGTAGGGACCTCTTCTTTGGGCCACTCTTGTAGGCCATCAAAGAAGAAGACCAAATGGGAGTGGCAGTTTTGGAGAAACAAATGAAACACTGCTACTTACATATCTGTTCAAGTATGCACAACACAACCCCCTCTGCACTGTTTCTGCTATGCTATGCTATGCTATGCTATGGTGTCGAATCTTTAGTACCAAGCTACTGACAAGTCTTCAGTGATTCTCTTGTCTACACTTTCATCATTTTTTACTTGGGAGGGTGATGCTAGTACTACCATAACTTTATCCTTTTCTTGCAACCATAGTGTCTTGGTCCAATGAGAAATTTTGCAGCTTCATGAGTGCCATCTTGCTTCTACCATGGCTAAATCACTTTGTCACCTCATTAGATTGCCAAAAATGCTTTTGTGATCTTCTGTTGAAATCATAATGGGATGTATGGTCCTGGAAAACCTCCATTTTTCCCTCTAGGAAACATACACCAATGGGCAATAGACTGTAGGCTGCAGGATCCATGTCTCTTGTTGTTCAGAAAGAAACATAAACGCAATAATTGCTATTGTTGGTACAGTTTTCTCTTCCTCTCTTCCCTTCCTCCCCAAGTCTGCCAAAGTGAAGTTGCAACGAGAATATTCTATTTAATTTTTCTAGATTCTGTATTCCAGCTATAATTACTCGTTTTTTTTCCTTTCTCTTTAATTATATCTCAGAACATCTCATTACAAAACTTAGTATAATAAGAATTCTATTCGAAACATGTTGATTTGGTTTTAAAATTAAGATATACATATTGTATAAGATCCTGAAATTTTAAGAATGAAAAATTATTTTTCAATATGTGCAGTATGTGTTTAGATTAATAATTTGACCTTGTGAAAAATATTATAAAAAGATGTTTATTATAATGAGTTAAACTAAGAACTAGTACAGTATGAGATTTTAACTTAAACTAATTGATTACAAAAGGGTATAACTGATTTAAATCCTATTCGAAAAATCTAGACAGATGATGTAAAACTCTCAATATCCTGTCGAATTTCTGAGTTGAGAGAGGAGAATCTCGTATTGTTTGTATCTATTTTTCACGTTGCGACTTGTATATTTGTTATATGACTCCATTTATCGAAAAATTTTGGGTTATAGTTAATATATATATTTGTGAGTGCGGCTTAATTGTGGACCTGATACAGCTAAACAACACTCAAAGGTTGACCTCTATTCTCCATACAAATACATAACTGATATTGAATTGCAGAAAAGAATTAATGGATGCATGACGGCTTTCTGATAAGAAGGGTAGTGGAGGAACTGGTTTTGGTGTGTAGAAAGTATACACAGAATCTATTAAGGATTGGGTGGTATGAAAGGGACATTAATCATGCCATGAAAAGCAACTTCATCAAAAAATACATTTTCAACAGATACATATTCAAGTTCATTCAAGATTTATTGTTTTTAAATCACCCTTGTTCGCCATTATATGCATCTACTAGATTAAGATTGTTAGAATTTGACTCTGCCACACATGGTTTTAATAATTACAGCATCTACTCTTCTTCTCATGTGTGGTGGAAAACCTAATCCATCCTTTTGATGAGTTACTTTTCAGAAGGAAACACCGAGTCTAATCATCATGTGAAACCAGTGAAGACACGTATGGTGAGAGAGGCACAATCATGGGGCCTTCACCGGCCATTGATGCTTAGTTTTTAGAGAGCAGAATCAGCTTTTTGGGCAGCGTAAAATCTCAAAGAGTTTCAACATTCAACAGTATTGTCATGTTCCACAATCCATGGGTTCCCATCATGCCCTAGTTAAACCATTTTATTAACAAAACAAGACAACAATGCCACATCACTCACAAATGTTAATGTTACACTATCATATTTCATATCCCACTTTAACACACGTCTCTTCTTGTCGTTTCACAAATGTTAATGTTCCATTCTTTCTTTCTCATTTCTAAACATCATCACCATCATCACCAACATATACAAACCCTAAGTCTCTTTCTTCGACAATTATCAAATACATATTTAATTCACTTTCGAAATAAATAACTATTTGATATATTATACCAAGATTACGATTTAAAGTATTATTCGATAAGTTGAGTGGAAAGTGTAAAACGTGAGCGGGTGAAACAAGTTAAATAACTTACCAATGAGCAATATTGACTTTTATATCCTGAAATAAAATAACAAGCTTAGAATCTTAATTTATAAAAAATATTATCGTTGATATAACTATTTTAAGATACTTAATTTTAAAAAAAATAATAAGTTTATTATATTCAGCACTTTGTGATTCTAGTGTAAGCATGTACTATATATTTTTATGCATGTATATATGCATTAACATGCCTTTGTTTACATTGAAATATTCGTTTCCAATTATTTATTAGGGATGAAAACAAGTTATTTTTATTCTTATAGTAAAGTTTTTATAATATGGGATTATATAATAAAAAATATATAATCTAAACATAGCTTATAGAATCTTATAATTATTAATTAAAATATATAATATATTTTTATGATAAAACTTGTATGAACATGCCTATTAAACTCTACTTTATGTAATATATAATAATACTATATCTAAAAAATATTCTTTACTTGAGACACTTATTTCTCCATGTTAAAAAAGGAATTTGATTTGGCAGGTTCCAAGTTAGGTTTGAGTTGTTCTCACTTAGCTACCTACATGTGTTTTCACCTTTGGCTTGTCGTTACATTTCCATTTAGAATGCGTTCAGTTGTTGATAGGACAACATATTCATCTTGTGTTATAGTCATGTATATATGATGAAATAAACCAGTTTCTTATGTCATACATATGTTTAACAGTTGTTGTCTTGTTTAGCTTATGCACTTCTCATTATAAGTTGCATTACTATATCATCAACAAAACCACTTGCTATTCCATATTTCCTCATGGTATATCTATATATTTTCATGAATTTCACATTTTTTTTACTGGTTTCTTCTGATCAACTGAATTAGAGACCAATTCCGTTTTGATTATTCTGATAAACTCAACAAGTTTTTACAGATCAAATACAAATTTCTGCTGCATATAGATTATTCTCAGAAAATTCTCATATACCAGAAAACTACTCAAACACGATCTATATTATTTGGAATTGAACTATCAGTTAGACATAAGAAAGTTAAGATTTTAGTGAACGGGGTTTTATGCACGAGGTTTAGACATTGATGGGTTGTAAGTATGGACCAGAAAGCGAGTGTTGAATAGTAGAAGAATTAGTGGAGGACCAATCCATCAATTCAGTTTATGAGACTCTGATTTTGTTCATATTTTGAAAAGTAGCATAAATGGTCTAGAACTTAAGGTCGCTTTCGATCAATAATGGAATTAGAAGTAGTGACAAGTGAGCGTGTAAAATTTCAACGCGTAAATTTCTGAGATCCAAGACCCTCTAGAATGAGATGTTACTTTACATATTATATATGATGAATATTGTCTGTGAAATGACTTGTTAAAAGGCAGGCTCCAATAGGTCAGTGTATTTCTTGACGAGTCAAATTGGCATATGAAAAGTGATGAAGAAGGTCTGAAAAATAGATTTTGTGGTTAGGTCTAAGTCCAACGACCAATACTTGAGCTGAATATCCACGGTTGAAAGTCACATGGCACTTAACCATAGATAGTGGTGGACACCTTCACTTTCACGTATCAAATTATTCGTGCAAAGTGCAACCGTGTAACTTTAGAACATGGAGCTTCTATACAACCGTGGACTTCACCACTAATTTTTAGGCAACACATTTTAGCACTCCACGTGTAACACCAATGCTCAAACAAATCATCTTTTCATCCATGCATGTACTATATGATTACAATGAGGATTCATTCAGCTTACTGTGTTATCATATAACAAATCATATTTGTCGGTAAAAATAACACTAGAAAGTTTTCATCATCTTCTTTACATAACCATTTCACTTTTTTTTATAGAGAGAATGGAGAGTGTTCATGACACATTATAAGGGCAAGAGACATACCAGGCCCAAACCAAAGGGCTCCCACACAATGCAGCAGCATGAGTGGTGGGTGGAAACAACCTTCACTTATCATTTTCTCTTTGGGCCTCTCTTCTTTCTCTATCAAATCAAATATTCAATCCATTTGTCGTTGCTCTTGCTGTTTTTTTAAGGGACAGCAAAAAAAGCTCAAATTCAACTACAAGAAAAAAAAGGGACAAAACTAAGGTACAACAGGGAGGGTATGTATGTTATATATGCTTTGTTTTTAGCTTTTATGAAATACTTTTTAGAAACATATGGGAGAATAATATTAATAATTAAAAAAAATTATGAAACTAAGATTAAAGTATGATAATCTTTAATACTGATGACTGGATTTAATTAAGAGAGACAAGATATATTTATATGTTATTTAATTTTACTATTTCGATCAATACGAGACTTCAACTTGAATTCTATAATAAGAGATAAGAGAGACAGAGCTTAGTTTGGTTCTGCTGAGTGGGATAGACTATGATGACTTACAAGCACTGGAGCATATATTAATTAATTAGTGGTAAAAGGAAACAAGTTTCGATTTTTGCAAGTTTAAATTCTGAAGAACTGCGTGTTAGAAAAATGAGTCTGAAATTCTGATAAAGCTTGTACCATACAACTAATCGTCCCTAAGAGAGATCATTACCTGATTTTTAAAAACAAACAAACGGACCCCTAATTAATCAAGGAATTAACTACTTTCTGTCACATTAATGTTCAATTTCCAACCAAAATAACATCCAATTGCATGTATCATACATAGTTATAAACAGATCATGTTTTCAAGCCTTCTCATGATACATGGAATTGTGTTAATGCAAGCAAGAGGAACATCAGCCTTCGTCGATTCATTTGAAGGAACCTTGTGGGACCCAATTAGGCAGTGAGCAATCTGAATTGATACTGAGATCCTTGATAGTTCGACTAGATTTTATTGGCACTGAAAGGCCCTTAAAGCTTGGAGATCTTTGCTGGTTACCACTGAGCTTGGCCATCCTACCATTACTAAGCACTTCACTGTTAATAGAAGATGCAATGGATAGCTTTTTCTTGCATGGTGAATAGCTATCAGAGTTGATGTCCACATTCCCCCCTGTCCTTATTTTTGGGGAGCTTGTTGATCTTGCTTTTGCTCTTGCTGATTCTGTTGCAGCCATGTATGCTGGAGTTGCAGGAGAGCTTGAAAATGACTGGTCTTCTCCCACTGAACACTGCCTTCTATGAGGAAAAGATCTTCTTGAACCAAGTATTGGAGAATCTAACCCTTCAACTGGATTTTGCCTGTTAATACTTCTCACCTTAAGTTGTCTGCCTCCATATTCCTCCCCACCTCTAGAATGTGAGCTAAAAACTGAGTCTAAATCTTCAAGTTCTTTACTCTTCGAAAGTTGTGTATCTACCCACTGCTCTAGCCAGTATCTCCATCTTCCATTTACTCTACTTCTTTCTGACTCTGCTGACCTCTGCAGGGTTTCTGTTGGTTAGTTTGAGAACCTTAATGTGCAAAAGAACTAGGTAACAACATTAAAGAGTAGGAGCTTACTCTATGGTGAAATGAGTATTCTTTTATTCTTTCTTTCTTGAGAACTGTTTCTTTGCAAGAGGTGTCTACCTCTTCCTTCAATAGAGTGCTTTCATCACACTTTCTTTCACTGTTTGAGTCCATCTGAAATGATAAAACCATGTTTCAAATTCTAAATTGTACAAGGATAATAAACAGCTACAATATAATTGATAAAAAAGGCAGAATGCGGCTATAGCAGTGGATAATTAACAGCTACAATATAATGATATGGTGTAACCAGTTACGCTCACCCTAATTATCTTGTCTTTAGAATCTTGCATCTCTTCATTTTCAGTGTAATCACATCTCCCTTCGACCATTAGGAGCCTCCTTGCACAGACCTGTGACTGGATACTCACAATGGACTGCAAGCACTTAAGAGTACTCATAGCTTGGCGTCTTACTGCTCTGCCTCGGATGATAGCTTGAAGTTTCACTATTCCCTTCAATGCCCTCAAAGCCTTCCTTGCCTGTAATTTCTTGTCAGTTAGTGAATAGGAGAACACAATAGCAAAGAATAGAGTAAGCTGACCTTGGTTTCTTCTTCCACTTACTATCATTAGTTTCTATTAGTGCTAGTACTTTTTTCTTTTTTGCAATTTTCGTTCATTCTTTTGTTCTCTTAGGAATTGAATCTATGTAAAATGTTGGAAGAAACATTTTAATTTCTAACAAATTTCAGCTTATAATACTTTATTCACTTGTCTCTCATCAAAGTCACGTTTGAATAAATAAATTGCACATCTGCCATATATTAAAATTAACTGATGCACTCAGTTTTTATAGAAGTTCTCTCTTCTAATTTGTCTATATACGTGCATCAAGTGATTTTATCTTATGGGAAAAGTTTAATTCGTTTCAAGTTCATATTTTTCCTACTGTTTTTTTTAACCTAATTAATCTGAATCCATGAGTGAGGAATTTAGCAGTCTAGGTAAAGACTATGTAAGAATTCTTAAGAAATCAACGAAAATGGCTTGGACAAACTCACTAGAAAACCCCTGAATGCAGTTTGAATTTTGATGACTGCAGCAGATTCGTTAACGTCCCTCTTGCACTGGTATGTGGATTGAGGAGCAGCATTACTAAGAGGTTCATATTCTTCTGCCTGTTCTTTGCGTTGAAGGGCAGATTGTGAGACCCCGGTGAGGCGAACAACCTCCGCAGCAGCATGAGCAGGAGTAACAGCAGCTGCTGAAGCAATGGCCACTGTTAAAGCACGCTTGCTTTGTTCTTCCTCTGCTTCGCTTAGTGCTATCTCTTTTGATGCAAGTGGAGCTGTAATTGAAGGTAATCTCTTGCTCTTTAGCCTTCCAAATATCCATTTCCTTCTTTTCTCCTTCTGAAAAACAAAGACGAAGTTCTCTGTCTCGTGAGAAACAGAATCAAGTAAAAGACTTGATTATAAAAAGCTTAAGACTTGCCTTATCTTGTGTGGGATGTGTGTCCCTTATAAAGAGCCTCTTCACCAGACTAAACCAGCTCTTCTTCTTGCCCATTTAATAATATCACATGGGTCAACTTCAATGTCTGTGATCTGAAAAATTGCCCGAAAGCATATCTTCGTCTACACAAGATATATTGGTTTGTGGTTATCTAACTCTAAACCTCTCGCATCACTTTTGAAGAGTGGATGTGTGAAATGTAAGATTGGTTGGTGGCTAGGCATTGATTTAAGTAATGTAATTGTACAACTAAAACGTTAGGCGTGCCCAAAAAGACGAAACAGTTTGCAGGACTTGTCGTAGATTTAGATTCTTATATGAATAAGTAGTGACAGCAAAGTCCAAACGCATGTAAACGAATCAGAACCTTGATTTCGGAGCGAAGTGAAACATGAATGCACACAAACCAAGATAGTTGGAATAGATTAGGAATGTAATGCAGATTTGGAGAGAGATCCAAGTTAATTACTTACCCATTTTCCGGAATCCCATAAAAAAAAGACAGGAGTCACCGTTTCAGAGAGCTTGGTGCATGGTAACAAGTGGATTGCTGTCATTCATTAAATTCAGATGGAATAGCCTTGGAACCAGCAAACATTCTTTATAATATCAGTTCCCCAAACCAAGAATGTGGAACTTTGGGTGGATTTCATCAGTGAATGTGCACAGTTACCAAGACTCTTTCGTCTAGAGGAGCAGAAATTCCTATTCCTAGCTAACACTGAAAACCTCTTGTGGATTGTTATGACTTTTATGTGGGTGCAACTGCAATCATTCATAATTTCCCTCTTCCTCAATCTTCATGATGAGTTTCTCCTGTTCCAAAATGTGGGGTCTCCAAGAGCAAGCAATGCTCAGGATAAAAGCAGAGCCACTTTGTTTTCATTGGGAGAGCCAAGAGCCATTCCTCTTGAGCTTAATGGGTCCTCCAATTTTCATTTTCTTTCCATCTCTCTTATTTCCAACTGTAGCAGACATGTTCATATGTCTGTTGGGTTTGAAATGACATCACTGCCCCTTATTGGTTTTGGTATTATCACTAAATACCAACCAATAAACTACCCTTCATTTTTATATCTGCTTGTGAATTAGCCAAAGGATGGTAGGGTCAGGACTTCAAGTGGTATACGTATGACGACCATATACTGACCTCTTACAGAAAATTAGAGATAGATATGTATGTATGGCAATGCTTTGCACCCCTTGTCTTATCTTTCTATCATGTAACTTTGGCCTAAACATGAATTCAGCTTGCTTTCTGTATGTATGTATGTAAAAGGAAACGTAGAGAGCAACACTTATATACGCTACATGATTTCTTTCATCCTGAACAGGTAGTAGGCATGTGTTGAGAGTGGTCACATCAACTACACAGATATGATGAGAGTGTGAATATATGTACGTTTAGCATTATTAGAAATGTAGTATGACAGTGTTACAGAAGCATTAGTAGACATTGTTGACATTGTTACAGGTAGGTGTGGGGAAGTGCATAATTGAGTAGTGTGGAGAGTGGACACATAATGTGCAAAGGGTAGGGAATGTGAGGGAAAAAAACAAACAAGATTTGGGTTATGAGGAGGGAAGACAGCTGTAAAAGGACCCAAAAAGAGGAATTGTCATAATACATTCTCACCTCATATTTTGAAAGAGAGAGAGGGTTTGGTTTGGTTTGGTTTGGTAGTGGCTGGAGAACCAAAAGCAGAAAGTGTGAGACCAGAGTTTACTTAAAAAACGAGTGTTGGGTGGTGATGAAAAAAGATGGTTGTCTGGTGGAAAATAGACTAATCAAGATGGTTTTGTTAGCGTTGTCGATCGAGACCAACTCTAACGGTGCAGCATTACAATGAGAGGCTTTGGACACAACACATTTAAGAAACCATCCAGACCAGAACATGGCAAAATGCTCCATGAAAACGAAGTTCCCTTCAAAATCTTTTACCTTTTTATCATATTTTGAAACATGACTCTGCCCAGTGGATTCGTTTGGTTTGGTGAATGCATAAATATTAACTTATCTTCTTCGAGAATTTTTCAAGTACCCAAAACTAAAAACAAAATTCTAATCATTACACACATTTAAAAGTTACCACAACAATGATGAAAAGTTGAGATTTTGGATGAATATTAACTGTTTCCAATTCTTTTCTTTTATTTATGTAATTTCGCCATGAATCTCAACAACGAAGTGACTAGGGTTGAGATGCTCTATGCGTGTACGATTGAACACCAATCAAATGACATCTGGGTTTTGATGTGAGACATTAATATAATGAAAAAAATATTGTTTTTGGTTTTGTTTCTAGTTTACCGTACTGGCCAACTTTTTTTTATAAAAATATATTAATAATAATTATTGTAATTTATTGTTAAAGATACAAATTTTAGCTATAGTCTACAAAGGTTTTGTGTATGGATGAAAAAAAATCTAAATCAAATTTCATACATATAATTACCTAAATTCAAATTATTTTAAATTTATTTGAATCGATTTATCTCAAATCTAAATTCATATTTTTTTTTTAATTTCAATCAAGTTAATTGAATTTAGATGGAAAATAAATTGAATTATTTTTTGAATTTTAAAAATTAAAAATCAAGTGCAGTCAGGTTGAATCAAGAGAAAAATTAAATTAAATCAGATCATATCAAATAGACTCACATTAAATCAAATTAGGTTAGATCATACACTAAATTTTGAAATATATTAAAGTCAAATTAAGTGAGATTGAGAATATCAAATCGAATAAAATCCAATCTACTAATAATATCAAGTATATATATATATATATATATATATATATATATATATATATATATATATAAATCAGGTTAAATTGAATTTAAATGAGTTGAATGAAATCATGTAAGATGACTAACCAAACTTGATCCAGTTAAACTAAATCCATATCAAGAAATAACCTAAAATTAATTTAAATTGAATTAGATAAATTAAATGTATCATATTAAACTATATATAACTACATAAATTTAAAAATACCCGTCAAAATCACAATTATAGAAAATTTAACAATTAAAAAATAAAAAATACAGATAAACACATCCATCTGTTATAAATCTATGTCAAATCAACATGCCATGTCAAAGTCATCTACCAAGTCAATAAATAATCTACTAATGAATAGACCATAATTACGTAATTTTAAGAATTAGGAAACTAAATTCTTGTAATCGGAAAAAATATCAAAACTGAATAATGGTTATAAAATATTCGATATGCAATTAAAAAAAAAAGAACTTTTGTTACTGTCATGGTTGAGATTGAGAACGAAAAAGTTGTATATATTTGGTAGATATTAAAAATAAATAAAGAAGATGATAGATATTATTGAGTTGTTATTATTTTAAGAATATTTTATAGTAATAATTATTTAAAGATTAGTTTAAATTATAATATGTATAATTTGTATTATATATATATATATATATATATATATATATATATATAATCAATAGAGAATAGAGAGAAGTAAGTTATAAATGATTTCTTACATGTTATTATATTAGGTTATTTTTCTCTTTTAAAAAAAAATTAGTTATCATTATTTATTTTCTCTAAAACATTTTTTTTATAATTGTTCATTTATGGTTGACAATTCCAAATTTCACTCTGCTCTGATTATCACCAAAGTGAAACATTTCATTTCAATCACTTTGGATATAATTGGTTTCAAAAGAGTAAATCTGATCACTCTTTATTCATATATCATAAGGAATTTGATATTGTATATATTATGTTGTATGTTGATGATATATCCAGATAGCTTCTTCTAATTCTCTTAAAAAGTTCATTATGTCATTTTTGAGTGCAGAGTTTGCTATGAAGGACCTTGGTCCACTCAGTAATTTTTTGGGGATTGCAGTTACCCGACATGCAAGTAATATGTTTCTCTTACAAAAAAAATATGTAGAAGAAATTCTTGAAAGAGCAGGGATGACTAATTGCAAAACTTGTCTCACACCAGTTGACACAAAGCTCAAACTTGACACTTGTAATGATATTCCCTACGAGGATCCTACTAAGTATAGACATCTTGCTAGAGCATTACAATATCTCACTTTTATAAGGCCTGACATTTCTTATGCGATGCAAGGAGTATATCTTTATATGTGTGATCCCAAGAAAGAGCATATGCATGCTTTCAAGCGTATTTTACTTTAATTCAAGGGACTATTGATTTTGACTTGTATTTGTACAAATCCAATATTGGAAACCTCCTCTCCTCTCTTACATAGATGCCAATTTGGATGGATGTCCTGATACTAAATTGTCTACATCTGGGTATTGTGTTTTTCTCGGTGATAACTTGACTTCGTCGAAATGATAACCTACATTATCTCGTTTTAGTGTTGAAGCTAAATATAGAGGAGTAACTAACGTTGTTTCTGAATCTTGTTGGATTTGAAACCTTCTTTTTTAGCATCATTGTCAAATTCAAAAAGCTACAATAGTGTATTGTGACAATGTGAGTGTCATTTATTTATCAGGTAATCCTGTACAACATCAGCGTACAAAACACATTGAGATGAACATACATTTTGTACTTGAAAAAGTTGTCCATGAAAAAGTTTGTATCCTTCGGATCTTCTTGGGAGCTGAGGGGGTCGTGACCCCCCCAAAGTTTTGTAACTCCTATATAATTGATGATTTTGGCCCCCTCAAACTTAATGAACATTTAATATTTACTTGTATATTTACAATTTTATCCTCTCAGCCCCTCCTCAATTCATATAATTTATGATTTTGTCTCCCTCAAACTTAATGATCATTTAATATATTTAAGTACATATTTACAATTTTATCCTTTCACCTTTTCATCTTCTTACTTCCTTTTATATTTATTTATTATTTATTAATAATATATTATTTGACCCCTCCAAGATCAATGGTCAAGATCCGCCACTGTGTCCCGCTATCAAATTGTTAATACTTTCACTAAAAGCCTTTCACGCATACTCTTTGATGATTTTCGAACAATCTAAGCTAAGCATTTGCCAACCTCCCGCTTTGACTAAGGGGATGTGACGAGATATTATTACGTAAAATAAGTTGTTATTATTTTGAGAATATTTTGTAATATTAATTGCCTAAAGATTAACCTAAATTATAGTTTGTCAATTGTAATGAAAGTCTAAATTATACTTTGTATTTTGTATATATTTCTAATCAATAAAAAAGTAAATTACGGATGATTTCCTACAAAAATAACTCATTTAAAATTTTATATATTTGATATTAACATATTAATAATTTTTTTTAAACAACTATCAAACTTTGGACACTACCAAAAATTACAATGTAATATTTTCTATAGATTGATATTTTAGGTTTTCAAATATGATATTAATACTTTTGAAAGATAACATTCATAATGGTGAGGAAGAATTGAAGTACTCATAAAGTGACTTTGGTTAGTTGAATAAGAACAGAAGGTTGTGGAATTGTGATAGAAAAAACTTATATTCAAGCCTGTAATTGTTTATATTTTATTAAGGTCGTAATTACTTGGCATATATTTAAGGTAATTAATTGTCTTTGTTTCTTCAATTTTATGTTATATTTATTTACTGTAGTCAATGAAACGAGAGAATGAATTTACTTAGAAATTGATTGTTTGTATTTGTTGATTTTACATGATTTATAAAGAAAGATAAGTGGGATTTATGCACAGGAAAACACTCCAAACTTGTGAAGAAAAAAGGTGAAATTAATGAATTAATTAAGAGAATACTTGTATTGTCTTAACAACTTTTCCCTTTGTCTCACATACAAACTTTCAATGGCAGAGCATCTCTTTAAAATGCACTACACTCAAATAGATTCATGTTTAATTATTTAGCTACCACTGTAGCTCACATTCACAGTAGATATAATTTGTGTTTTCTCAATGTTTCTTGCCATGCGCTTTGAATGTAGTTATGGTTTTGTTCAACCTTTGAACGAACCCATGAAGTATTTGACAACTATAAATACAACAATTGACATGGTTTCTCGTCATTCATTCACTGATATTGTTTCAAGAGGAAGGTATCATTGAGCTTTGCAAGGAACATGTAATTACGGGAACCAATCATAACAGTCTTGCAAAGGTACTTATACTTCCATCTATTCGTAACAATTCTAATAAGTTTATCGATCACTTTTCTTCTATAATTTCTTATGATTTTATTGATTTAAGATGTCAAATTACTTGTTATGTTCGTCTACATAAGTTCACAAGGTGTTGATTTGTTGTTTAACTGTTATTGATTTACTATTTAGACGTGGCATTGTTACATATAAAGGCCAACATAATTGATTATGAGGTAACATGTAATCAATTATGTTGGGGTACATAATTGATTATGAGCTATGACATAATTAATTATGAACGATAACATAATTGATTATGTGGTTCTTCTTAATCGATTATGATGACGCACATAATTGATTATGTGCTTCTTTAATTTGTTCTATGTCATATTGTATAAAAATGATGATTGTTCAATTGGTTATGTGATATGTTGTTAATATTAAATTATTAATTTTACACTCACTAGGGAACATAATTTTAAGAAAATGTTTGGTTAAATAATTTTAAAATATAACATTTATTAATTAGTAAGCTATTATAAGATGGATTAGAAGCAAAATTTTTTGAAAAAAAAAAATTACTATCTTAGGAAATAAGCGAACAAAAATTTGTCTTGGTCAATAATGGAGGGTTGAGTTATTTTTTTAGTTTATAAGTAAATAAAAAGAATTTCATTACTAATTTTAGATGATTAATTAAAGGAGTTATTAGAAGTATAAATAAATGTCAATTTTAAAAAATAACCATAAATATATGTGCTAGGTTAGGAATTAATTAACTAAATTAATTATAAGTAAATCATTATAAAAAAACTATA